AGGGAGATAAGATGTTTTCTGGTGGTAGTTTCGAAGGTGATTAATGTGTCTGCAGTTGTAGAGTTTTCAGGTAGGGTGTTCCAGATTTTAGGGACTTTGACATATATTGAATTTTTGTAAAGGTTTAGTCGGACACGGGGAATGCCATAGAGATGTTTGTGTCTGGTGCTATGCCTGTGGGTTCTGTCACAACTTTCAAGAAAGCGTTTTAGGTCAAGGTTAATAATGGAATTTAAGGTCCTGTAGATGTAGATTGCACAGTAGTAAGTGTGGATGCACTGAACAGGGAGTAAGTTTAGCAGAATGTGTGAGGATCTCAAATTTCTATGATTTGCTCGTTTGTCATTATTAAATATCATTGAGTGAAATTTAATGCTAGTACAGTAATTTCAGAAACAGAACTTTCAATTGCAGAATAAATCACTGTTGAATACTGTTTTCTGGGTAAGATTTGATGCACAGTTGAGGACTCATCAGCTATGTTTTCCAGTTATTAAATTTGTACTGATATTATGTACACTTATGAAGCTGTCACAAATGCCAGATGGCTTTGCAAAACTGAGTTTAATAAGTCTACATTTTGCTGATTTCAAGTGTCCAGAACCATGCCTTTTTGCATTCTAAGGGGTGACAGAAGCAGGAACGTCTTGTTTTTAAATCTGTGTTAAATCATGGTGTGTATATATATAATAATATATTTTTTTATTAATTCGCCGAACTTTTTCAAATATTTTGACAATTGTGGAAGACAGTCGGTTGAAATGTGGTTATAATGAACACTGATTAAATGATGTAAAAAAAATATACCAGAGATAAATATACAGAGGTAGAGTGATGTAAATGCTTACAGTGTAGTTGTAGCGTTCCAAGTGGCCCCTGGAGAAGGTAGTGAGGATCTGCAAGGCGTAGACTCCGCCCATGAGGAAGATCAGGTTGAACAAGCTTAACCACAAATATACTCCACTTGGATTCACCTAGGGAAGGCCAGGTACGGTGAACAGGAGGAAGACGAATAAAGGAAGATATGAAAGAACTAAGGGAAGATAGGAGGCAAACAAGGGAAGGTAGAAAGCAAATAAGGAAGCCAAATGAAGGAAGATATGAAACAAATAAGGGAATATAGGATGCAAATAAGGGAAGGTAGAAAGCAAATAAGGGAAGGTAGAAAGCAAATAAGGGAAGGTAGAAGGCAAATGGGGGAAGGCAGAAAGCAAATAAGGAAGACAAATTAAGGAAGATATGAAACAAATAAGGGAAGATAGGAGGCAAATAAGGGAAGGTAGAAAGCAAATATGGGAAGATAGAAAGCAAATGGGGGAATATAGAAGGCAAATAAGGGAAAGTAGAAAGTAAATGAGGAAATATAGGAAGCAAAAACGGGAAGGTAGTACATAAGAACATAAGAAAGAAGGAACACTGCAACAGGCCTACTGGCCCATGCGAGGCAAGTCCAATTCTCCCACCGGCTTAAGCCAATGCCTTGGCCCGGTGGCCTGGTGGCTAAAGCTCCCGCTTCACACACGGAGGGCCCGGGTTCGATTCCCGGCGGGTGGAAATTCCGACACGTTTCCTTACACCTGTTGTCCTGTTCACCTAGCAGCAAATAGGTACCTGGGTGTTAGTCGACTGGTGTGGGTCGCATCCTGGGGGACAAGATTAAGGACCCCAATGGAAATAAGTTAGACAGTCCTCGATGACGCACTGACTTTCTTGGGTTATCCTGGGTGGCTAACCCTCCGGGGTTAAAAATCCGAACGAAATCTTATCTTATCTTATCTTATCTTATCTTGACCTAGTCAGATCAGTCACATTCACATAGCAGACATATGAGAGAAGACAGGAGGCAAATGACGGCAAGTGATTAAGATCCCAGGACTGAAACGATTTATAATAAATATGTCTTAGTGTTTGCTCACGTGACTTTTAAAACAATGATACATTTTTCCACCTATTTCAAGCCGGCAGCAGCAGCCGGAGGAAGTAGAGTGTAGGGAGAAAGCCTTCTGCTATATGTGTCTTGCATCATACATCCTGACAGTACATTATAGTCTTTAATCTATATATTAGATAGTCTTTAACAGATTGCATTGATGTGAACTTTAAAGTCCACATTTACTCCAATATTTCTCTCTCTCTCTCTCTCTCTCTCTCTCTCTCTCTCTCATCTTTATATATATATATATATAATAAAATATATATATATAAAATATATATATATATATATATATATATATATATATATATATATAATATAATATATATATATATATATATATATATATATATATATATATATATATATAATATAATATACATATATTTATTTATTTATTTTTATTATTTTTATTATCACACTGGCCGATTCCCACCAAGGCGGGGTGGCCCGAAAAAGAAAAACTTTCACCATCATTCACTCCATCACTGTCTTGCCAAAGGGTGCTTTACACTACAGTTTTTAAACTGCAACATTAACACCCCTCCTTCAGAGTGCAGGCACTGTACTTCCCATCTCCAGGACTCAAGTCCGGCCTGCCGGTTTCCCTGAAACCCTTCATAAATGTTACTTTGCTCACACTCCAACAGCACGTCAAGTATTAAAAACCATTTGTCTCCATTCACTCCTATCAAACACGCTCACGCATACCTGCTGGAAGTCCAAGCCCCTCGCACACAAAACCTCCTTTACCCCCTCCCTCCAACCTTTCCTTCCACTACAGACTGATACACTCTTGAAGTCATTCTGTTTCGCTCCATTCTCTCTACATGTCCGAACCACCTCAACAACCCTTCTCAGCCCTCTGGACAACAGTTTTTGGTAATCCCGCACTTCCTTCTAACTTCCAAACTACGAATTCTCTGCATTATATTCCCCACCACCATTGCCCTCAGACATGACATCTCCACTGCCTCCAGCCTTCTCCTCGCTGCAACATTCATCACCCATGCTTCACACCCATATAAGAGCGTTGGTAAAACTATACTCTCATACATTCCCCTCTTTGCCTCCAAGGACAAAGTTCTTTGTGTCTCCACAGACTCCTAAGTGCACCACTCACCCTTTTCCCCTCATCAATTCTATGATTCACCTCATCTTTCATAGACCCATCCGCTGACACGTCCACTCCCAAATATCTGAATACATTCACCTCCTCCATACTTTCTCCCTCCAATCTGATATCCAATCTTTCATCACCTAATATTTTCGTTATCCTCATAACCTTACTCTTTCCTGTATTCACCTTTAATTTTCTTCTTTTGCACACCCTACCAAATTCATCCCACCAAACTCTCTGCAACTTCTCTTCAAATCTCCCAAGAGCACAGTGTCATCAGCAAAGAGCAGCTGTGACAACTCCCACTTTGTGTGTGATTCTTTATCTTTAACTCCACGCCTCTTCCCAAGACCCTCGCATTTACTTCTCTTACAAACCCCATCTATAAATATATTAAACAACCACGGTGACATCACACATCCTTGTCTAAGGCCTACTTTTACTGGGAAATAATTTCCCTCTTTATTACATACTCTAACTTGAGCCTCACTATCCTCGTAAAAACTCTTCACTGCTTTCAGTAACCTACCTCCTACACCATACACCTGCAACATCTGCCACATTGCCCCCCTATCCACCCTGTCATACGCCTTTTCCAAATCCATAAATGCCACAAAGACCTCTTTAGCCTTATCTAAATACTGTTCACTTATATGTTTTCACTGTAAACACCTGGTCCAAAAACCCCCTACCTTTCCTAAAGCCTCCTTGTTCATCTGCTATCCTATTCTCCATCTTACTCTTAATTCTTTCAATAATAACTCTACCATACACTTTACCAGGTATACTCAACAGACTTATCCCCCTATAATTTTTGCACTCTCTTTTATCCCCTTTGCCTTTATACAAAGGAACTATGCATGCTCTCTGCCAATCCCTAGGTACCTTACCCTCTTCCATACATTTATTAAATAATTGCACCAACCACTCCAAAACTATATCCCCACCTGCTTTTAACATTTCTATCTTTATCCCATCAATCCCGGCTGCCTTACCCCCTTTCATTTTACCTACTGCCTCACGAGCTTTCCCCACACTCACAACTGGCTCTTCCTCACTCCTACAAGATGTTATTCCTCCTTGCCCTATACAACGAAATCACAGCTTCCCTATCTTCATCATCATTTAACAATTCCTCAAAATATTCCCTCCATCTTCCCAATACCTCTAACTTTCCATTTAATAACTCTCCTCTCCTATTTTTAACTGACAAATCCATTTGTTCTCTAGGCTTTCTTAACTTGTTAATCTCCACTCCAAAACTTTTTCTTATTTTCAACAAAATTTGTTGATAACATCTCACCCACTCTCTCATTTGCTCTCTTTTTACATTGCTTCACCACTCTCTTAACCTCTCTCTTTTTTCTCCATATACTCTTCCCTCCCTTGCATCACTTCTACTTTGTAAAAACTTCTCATATGCTAACCTTTTCTCCCTTACTACTCTCTTTACATCATCATTCCACCAATCGCTCCTCTTCCCTCCTGCACCCACTTTCCTGTAACCACCAACTTCTGCTGAACACTCTAACACTACATTTTTAAACCTACCCCATACCTCTTCGACCCCATTTCATATGCTCTCATTAGCCCATCTATCCTCCAATAGCTGTTTATATCTTACCCTAACTGCCTCCTCTTTTAGTTTATAAACCTTCACCTCTCTCTTCCCTGATGCTTCTATTCTCCTTGTATCCCATCTACCTTTTACTCTCAGTGTAGCTACAACTAAAAGTGATCTGATATATCTGTGGCCCCTCTATAAACATGTACATCCTGAAGTCTACTCAACAGTCTTTTATCTACCAATACATAATCCAACAAACTACTGTCATTTCGCCCTTCATCATATCTTGTATACTTATTTATCCTCTTTTTCTTAAAATATGTATTACCTATAACTAAACCCCTTTCTATACAAAGTTCAATCAAAGGGCTCCATTATCATTTACACCTGGCACCCCAAACTTACCTACCACACCCTCTCTAAAAGTTTCTCCTACTTTAGCATTCAGGTCCCCTACCACAATTACTCTCTCACTTGGTTCAAAGGCTCCTATACATTCACTTAACATCTCCCAAAATCTCTCTCTCTCCTCTGCATTCCTCTCTTCTCCAGGTGCATACACGCTTATTATGACCCACTTCTCGCATCCAACCTTTACTTTAATCCACATAATTCTTGAATTTACACATTCATATTCTCTTTTCTCCTTCCATAACTGATCATTCAACATTACTGCTATCCCTTCCTTTGCTCTAACTCTCTCAGATACTCCAGATTTAATCCCATTTATTTCCCCCCACTGAAACTCCCCTAACCCCCTTCAGCATTGTTTCGCTTAGGGCCAGGACATCCAACTTCTTTTCATTCATAACATCAGCAATCAACTGTTTCTTGTCATACTGGCACTACATCCACGCACATTCAAGCATTCCAGTTTTATAAGTTTGTTTCTTCTCTGTTTGTATAAATGCTACAGAGAAGGGGTTACTACCAATTGCTCCCGGCATTTTAGTCGACCTCATACGACATCGCAATGGCTTACGGAGGAAAGATTCTTTTCACTTTCCCATGACAATAGAAGAAATAAAGAAGAACAAGAGCTATTAGAAAAAGGAGAAAAACTAGATGTATTATATATATATCATGTGCGTGTCTGTGAATGTGACCAAATGTAATAGAGTAGCAGATATCCCTGTTATCTAGCGTGTTTATGGAAAAAAAGAAATTATTATATAATATATATATATATATAGAATATTATAACTTATATAATATTATGCATTTAAATAATAGTTACTATATATATATATATTATTATAATATATATATATATATATATATATATATATATATATATTTATATATATATATATATAAAATATAATCTTGTTTCAATCTTCTCTCGCTGCTTCGCTGGCCTTACATTTCCCAGGGTGATAATATCAGCAGAGATGAGGATAAGGATTGTGATGTAGTACGCAGCTTGGGAGAAGGGCAGCTGGTCCACCATCAGCATTACCAGCCGCAGGGAGAACCTGCAGAGGTGACGCAAGAAAAATAAACAGAGTGAAAGTATGACACAGTGAGATTCATAGATTTATTTTTTGGAACGGGATGGATCTCGGCCGTTGCTTAGTCACTGGGCAAGTCATCACCTGACCTCTGTTATTATAATACAGTTATATAACAATAACAAGGAGCCTCTGGTTATTTGATCGAGGCCTTCCACTGAATATTTTTAACTCAAGATGTAATGATACACTTTCCATCTAAGATAAAAAAAAAAAAATTGATCACTATACTGTCCTAAGATTCGTGGAGAGTACTACTCACTTAGTGACAGGTGGAGAGGGAAGGCAGCAGCAGCAGCAGCAGCTTGGCCCCACTTGGAGGTTCAACTTCTTTCCCTCCGTCTTGGCCAGCATGACAGCCTCGCTGCCGAACATCAGCACTGTCAGGTCCGTGAAGTGACTGATTCCGATGGCCATATAACCTAATGATAGAGTAGATAAGGTCTTTATATATATATAATATATATATATATATATAATATATATATATATATATATTTTATATATATATATATAATATATATATATATATATTATATATATCCACTGGCTTAATGAAGATTTTACATCCCATATTAAAATGAGGATCACTACTCAAGAGTGTCCTAAAATAACCGTGAAGATTTTCCACATTAAACTTACGACTGTGTTCCGAGTTACATCAGGAAATACGTAATTGCTCCTTCCAAAGTGTACTAATAATATTATTCTCGTAAATCAGTGATTTGCAGCAGCTAACACCCAGAGAAGATTATTGTAACAGCTGTACAAGAAGACCGCTGAAGGGAGGTTCGTTGACGCTGGTGAGGGGTCCTTGATCTAAGGAATTGGATTTGTGCTGCAGTTCCCTGAACTGAGCCTGAATACCTTCCATCCCCCACAGGCGCTGTATAAACCTACGAGCTTAGCGCTCCACATCATAATAATAATGATGTACAAGAGGATATACAATATACACCAAGAGTTGTATATCTGAGTGTAAATACCCCAACACTTTACTCCCTATTTAAGGTATTCAAGCATCCTTGACTGGAAGTATACTGATGACAAGCAGCCTTGATGACTGTCGTGAAGTCGATAGGCTTATAACCTAATTCAGATATAAATTACGTGATAACATATTCAGATATAACTTACGTGATTTTAACAGACGTACAGATGTTATGAGCTCTGGGAACCACCGTTGCGATGACACTCATTAGGGCCATAAACTGCAAAGTAAACAATGGATATGAAAGTGACATGTAGGTACATTAATTGGAACAGATATTTAACTAGAGAGGAGCAGAAATTAATATTACGTGAAATATAATTCTAATCTTTATTAAATGTATCGTTGTATACAAATTGTCCGATGAAAAGCAGGGGTGTCAAGAGTATACTGAGAGACAGCACAGTAAGTGTCCGGGGCCCATGACTGTTCAACTATCTCCCACCATACATGAGGGGAATTACCAATAGACCCTAGACTCCTGGCTGTCTTCAAGAAGGCACTGGACAGACACCTAAAAACAGTACCTGACCAACCGGGCTGTGGTTCGTACGTCAGTTTGCGTGCGGCCGGCAGTAACAGCCTGGTTGATCAGACCCTGATCCACTATGAGGCCTGGTCTCAGACCGAGCCGCGAGGGCGTTGACCTCCGGAACCCTCTCCAGGTAAACTCCAGGTAATATACACGCGTTATGGCTAAGTTCCCTGTTAATTGAGGGTCGTTATGCAATACATCACAAACTAGAGCCAATTTGAAAACTTGTTGCCATTTTCGAATTCAACAACCTCAAAATACCCAAAAGCTTTCAAATATCTTTGACAAGGATTTTCTTTTGGTTAACGAATGATTAATTCCCTTGTAGCAGATGGTAAACAATGACTAGTTTAAGTGACCATCTTGTAGATGTGTTAGATCAATAAACTATACTAAGACGGTAGTTTATCACAGTAGATGGGTAAAAGCTGTAGTACCTGACAGTAGATTAAGACAGTGAGTATACGCTCTCTGTAGATTATAGCGGGGACGCGGTGGAAGTAGTAGATTAGGGCAGTGCACCAACAGAATGCTTAAACTGACCGGGGAGACAGATGCGATCCAGTATATGTGACGACGAAAGATCCGGTGGGCGTTGAGGAGCGTGAAGAAGGCTTGCTCGAAGAAGAGAATGTAGAGGCCCACGGTGATGAGCCCTCCGATGGCCAGCAGTGCTGTGCCGTATGACCCCAGAGCTGTAGACAGTGAAGCAATCAGTGTCAAGTGAACGAGGGAGAGATTGAGAGAGATGGGTCCAGTGTTAAGTGAACGAGGGAGAGATTGAGAGAGATGGGTCCAGTGTCAAGTTAACTAGAGAGGGACTGATATAGAACAGCCAGTGTCGAGTGAGCTTGTCTACCTAAATAGCATTTTAGTCGGTTAAAGCAGTGTGATAATAGGACTTACTTAGCAATACTAAAACGTTAGGAGGTAGTTAGGCACTCCTGGCCCAGTAGTTCATGTGTATTAGCTAATTAGGTAAAAAATTTGTTAAAAGATTTGATGCAGGCCGCACTTAGCAGTCAAACGAGTCACATGTTGAACAGCATAAAACTCAACCTTTTAGTGTTATAAGATATCACTGTGAGAGATCAATTTACAGATTCATGATGATGATTTCGAAGGATGATTCTGATCGCTTTCAAAGTCTATATTTATGGATTTAAGCTGAAAACGTTCAATAGACAGTACGCTGCTATCACGACTTACCCTGATGGTACTCCTCTGCGGTTGGAACATAAGATTTGTTGCAGTCAGTCTGAGAAAATAGATTTTGTATCTGGTCCATAGTCAAATACTATCGACAATCACTGGAAAGTGAAAAATACAAAATTAAATGCCTTAAAACATAAAGATATATACAAAATGTTTTTTCAACCACAACCCACATATTGACAGCTTTACATTACGGGAGGATCTATGGGGATAATTCAATACTTTTCTCAGTTGACTTAAATATAGCAACCTCAGCACAATAGCCTGAGCTTGCTACCATCTGCAGCTCATAAGACTGCCATCCCCACGAGCCCCTTTGAGGCGGGGTAGATGGCAGACCAGAGGCCTAGCTTCTCCCTACGAGCCCCGTGAGGGCGGGGAATGTGGCTAGGCCTGGGGACACTTGGTCCCAAAGATGAGGAGGTACTGTACCTCCTCCCATGGGAGACTTAAGTCTCGAGACACTCCCCAGATAGGGAGCCAAGGCCGGGTCACCACTACTTGGAAAAGACCCAGGCCGGGAGAATACCGGCGAATAAAAAAAAAAATCAGCACAATATAAACCGAGATAGACTGTACACCGTTTACGTTCTGTTTCATTTTCTCCAGCAGGTGGGTACCCTGGAGAAAATGAAACACTCTTGCATTGTACAGCAAGAATTGATTTTGATTCACAGAAATACATACATGCATACACACACGCACACACGAACAATTGGTGTTTAATCAATAACAACACTGCGACTAGCCAGGGGATCGAACCCGTGTTGTTTAGCCCTCCTCATGGTGAGCGAAAATTCACGACGCTCTAACCCACTGGACAGCTACTTATTAGAATAAAGGATCAACTGGTACCAAGTTTAGCGTACGTCAGGTCCCCTTGTCTTCTAATAATATGTTATTTTTCCCTTATAATCTACCTTGTCCATAATCACTATCACATTTGATTTGTCTGCTTGCGGAAGGTGAAGTCTAGGATCTTCCTTTAATTCATGGTATAACTTAACAAATCTTTGTTAACACAAGGGCCATCTCTCACCAATGCATGATAACCTTCTGTTATATGTAAGAATTTCCTCTGCTTTTCATATGCATTCTGTCGTCCATAATCTGAGAAAAGCAATATCTTCAGTGAAACCTTTATTACCCTGTTTCATCTTGTACCGGACTTTATGACAGTCATTCACTCAGTCATACGCAGGTAAGAACCTACGTTAGGTGCGAGGGAGGTGGGGATAGTGAAAGAATAGTGCGGTAGAAGACAGGGTGAAGAGGCCGGAGCTTGACCTAGCAGCAAAGCTTGAAGTATACAAAAACACTGATGCACGGAATTTGTTATATCTGTGTGGCTCTGATGGGTAAGTGTTATACCCCTTCCAATAAATATTCTGTTATTACACAAAGATACTTTTTATATCGCACCAAAGTGGTTGTGCCACTTTCCTTTTATATCCTACCTCATTCCCCCTCCCACCCTCTTTCAATATTTCTATCCTTATCCATTCTTCTTCCATACCCTTCTTACCAAAGCTCTGGTCGTAAGTTTAAGGTCAAACTGATGCACGGATAAGGCAAACAAGTACCCAGTCTCAGGAGAAATCACAAGTGAGCTAAGTCAAACAATATGTAATATGGATTATTTTAAGAGTCGATGTGCAGGGGAAGGGATACCAGCAAGGGGACCGGGCCGTAAGAAATATTTATATTATATAAACTATCTAAAATATGGGCAATAGGACCCGCCAGTGTGTGCACTCCCTTATGTTCGATAGAGTCATAAACATGAGTCTGATTTGATCCTCCTCACATAACTGCTCTGCTGCTTCGTAGTCTATGATGTGTGAATACAGACTGCTGAGAACGATGCATGCATTGCATGTCTTGATAAATGCTAATGAAATGAAAACCAATGAAGGCTGAAGGACTGATTACCTAATCTTCCACTGTTTCTAGTAAGTAATCTCCGTATTTAATCGATAAAGCCACCGACTGACGAAACGCCTTCATAATAATGATATCCAAGTGCTGCATACATCTTATTTATCAACATGTCCGCAGTATACACAACTAATGTAACAATTGCAGAATGTCTAATTTACGTACCTTGGATCAGTGACTTAACCTCAGATAACAAGGAGGTCTACTCGACTTATCATGAATCACTGACATAACTTAAGACCACTATTCGCAGACCTCGCCTGAGCAACTGAGAGAATGGTGTAAAGGGACAATGACGCCTCTTCGATAACGCAGCACAGAACAGATAATATTGTTAACCTTATCTCAACACTGATTTTGATCAAATATTAGCATTCTTGTGGATCCTCCTCCGTATCATATCACTTCTCATTTTTTTCCTTCTCATTTGTTTTGTTCATAATTACTATTCAGGATTTACGACATGTATCTTTATTTAGGAAATTAAAAATCTTCGTAACTTAGTTAATTCTTATGTCTGGTCCTAACAATATTTTTATTATAGTACTTTATTAAATATCCGGTCCATGACCAGGACTCGTCAAGGAAAATGCTTCAAAATCACATTGTTTAATTGCATTTTTTAAATTTTTACATAATTTTTGGTACGTGCTGAGGCAGAGAACATAGGATGACATGATACGTATATTATTGTTATGGAAGTATAAACAAGATATATTATTGTATTTGGGAAAATTTTTGGAGTTTAAAGTATATTATTAAAGCTTCGGAAACTCGCATTCCAAAATCAGTTATTTATTATTATTATTATTAAAGATTAGCCGGTATTCTCCCGGCCCGGGCCTTTTCCAAGTGGTGGCCCGGCCTTGGCTCCCTCTTTAGGGAGTGTCTGAGACCTAAGTCTCCCATGGGAGGAGGCACAAGTACCTCCTCATCTTTGGGACCAACTGTCCCCAGGCCTAGCCACAAGCTAGGCCTCTCTGGTCTGTCATCCCCGCCACAAGGGGGCAAATGGGAATGACAGTCTTATGAGCTAAAGGCTCGGGCTCAGGCACCTACCCTACCCTAGAAGGGTTAGGCATGGTGTCGATCAGAGATGTTAGAATTATATAATTAGTCCGTATTCTCCCGCCCGGCCTTTTCCAATGGATGGCCCGTTGGCTCCCTCTTAGAGTTCTGAGACCTAAGTCTCCCATGAGGAGACAAGTACCTCTCTCTTTGGGACCAACTTCCCCAGCTAGCCACAAGCAGCATCTCTGTCTGCCATCCCCGCCACAGGAGCAATTGGGAATGACATTTAGAAGCTAAACACGGACTCAGGCACCTACCCTAACCTGGAAGTTAGGCTGGTGCATCGATGTTAGAATATACTACTAAATTATATATATACATTCACTAAATATTTTATGAACACATATATAGTACTAGATTTATATTATATATAGAAGTACACAATTAAATTACGAAACACCTATTAGATATAAATATATATATAATTTATATAGATATATATATATATATAATATATATATATATAATATATATATTCTAAAGAAATATATATATATAGGGAGATACCACATCTAGAACTGTACTGGGAACCCTCATCCTCAGAGAAGAGAATAAACTTACACAAATAACCCGCATACAGAAGACAAGAGTGTGACTTTGTAAATGGTCCAAGTCGGACCGAAACGTCGTCGTAAGCTCCTCTCTTCTGTGTGCGGGTTATTTGTATATCGTTCCGGTCACGGTATTGTACCTTTTTGTTATTTAGAATAAACTTACTTCAGGGAGAACTAAAGATTCTACCCGGAGCTGTTTGAATATTCTCGTACGTCCCTCCCCATATATTCTGTGTAAACTTTATTTTTAAACAAAATTAACGAAGATACACTGGGAAGAAGAATAACATAAATGACATCTCAAAGTCTACATCTCAAATACTTCATCCAGCTCCTTGGCGGTGGACCGCATGTCAAAAATGCTGCAGGCATTTACCCTATGGATCGCAACACTGAGTCCTTGGTTTCTATGATGAGATTTTCAACTAACTCTTCCAGGAATTTTAAAGCACACTTGCCCCATACTCCAAGGGTCTCCGACCTTATTGGGACGAAGTTATAGGAAGGTGACAGTCCTCTGTATTTGGCGGTTCCATCCCCTTCAGCTTCAGAATATGGAAAGTAGGTGTCAGCCACCGTAGAGGCACAGGTGTAGTCTTATGCAATATGCTCACCATCCTTCCAGGGTAGCATGGTGTCTCCATCTATATATAGTACACACACACACACACAATATATATATATATATATATATATATATATATATATATATATATATAATATATATATATATATATATATATAAAAATATATATATATAAAAATATATAAAATATATATATTATATATATTAAAACTAATATATGGGAAGTACAGTGCCTGCACTCTGAAGGAGGGGTGTTAATGTTGCAGTTTAAAAACTGTAGTGTAAAGAACCCTTCGGGCAAGACAGTGATGGAGTGAATGAGGGTGAGAGTTTTTCTTTTTCGGGCCACCCTGCCTTGGTGGGAATCGGCCAGTGTGATAATAAATATATATATATATATATATATATTTTATATATATATATATATATATATATATATATATATATATATATATATATGTATATATATATATATATATATATATATATATATATATATATATATATATATATATATATATATATATATATATATATATAATATATATATATATATATATGAAACCTATAAGCCCGTGTAATATAAATAAACAACAAGTATATTTAAGTCATACCAACACGCAGGTGAGCAGTTGATATTGACTGTGTATTGTAAGAAACCTGTGTGATCCACGTCATGTGTGCCTGAGATATGACATCTATGTCAAAAAGAAGTCTGATCTACTTCTGACTCCTGAACACCATTTTTCTTATTGTTACCTCCAGCTTGCAAGGCTGGAGGAACCTGCTCGATATCAGTCTCTTCAGCGAAGGACACCTCAACGCCATTTGTCTTTTTCTCCTCATTTTCGTCGAACTTGAAGTCTGAGGACGCGTTGTCTCCCAGGACCAGTGGCAGCTGCGAGACTCTCCTCTTTTTCTGGAACCCAGTCATCTCTGAGATGATGCAGACACAGGCCTGGCCATGGATGATGAGCTCATGGGAGTGCTGATGGTGCTTGTCGGAGATGGGCTGCAAGAACTCTTCAGTGTGGTACTCCCAGTACTCTAAAGCACCGAAGATCGTCAGAACTAGTAGGTGAGCAAGATTCAACACAGCTGGAAAAAAATTAATATAAGAGATTTGATATCCAAATGTTGCATTCCCAACAACAGAGAAGAAAACTCACGTTGCAAAGCTTGATAAAGCTGCAAACAGTCAAAGCTTGTTCTGTAATTCTCATATTTTCTTCTTGAAGAAATTTTATTAACTTATTCTTGTGAACGGTGCAATATATTAAGGTAAAAATATCAAGTTGAATTTTGTATATTAAATACAGTTATAAATAAATAAAAGTATAGAATACATTGTTATTTTCTACAAAGTTCTCTTATTTAAATGCGGCAATAAATTTAGATTTATATAAACCTGAGAGAACATACAGGCATATCATGTTATAGTCCATACTGACTACACAAATAGACTGATAATTGATTTTAAAAACGTTGAAAGGGCTTTAGTATGTTTAAAATCTTGTGGAAACTTCAAGTCATTTTTTTTTAATCTAGCAAACTTGGATGCATTATCAGTGTGCTGCTAGTCTTTTCTATATGACAATTACACAATGGGAAGAAAAGCAACCTAATACTATTAGAGTTGATGTAAGGTGATTGAGAGGAGATGCAAGAGGCAGGATAAGAACTTGTACGTGTGGAACAGGGAAAGAACCGTTTAGAATAGACCATAGACGTAGCCAGGGTAGAAGAGGATAAACTTACTGTGGAAGTAAATCATAGTATTGTTCCATAGCTTCAGACTATGGAACAATACTCTTCTCCAGACTGAGGGACTGACCACCTCAAAACTTTAAGGGTGATGGACTGATTACATCGTCTTCAAGTATCTTCTGCTTCTATCAACTTTTCTGTACTCGACTGAAGAAGCCTACTGTGTAGGCGAAACGTTCGAAATAAAGATACCTAAATGTTGTATATGTGTCTTACCTAGATCATAGTTGACGTAGTTTGGGGAGCAAAGGATGAACTTACTGTGGAAGTGGACCATAGATGACGTAGAATGGGAAACAGAGGAAGAATTTATTCTAAACATAGACTATGGATGATGCAGTCTGGGAAGTGGGTAAAGAACTTACTGTGGGAGTAGACCATCGAGTTGATGTAGGGCGGATAGCAGGGGAAGACATCATAGTTTCCCAGCACAGTTATCACGAGTTCTGTGGTCTTGAGGACGATCAGCAGAACAAGCATCGTTCCGTATTTCCTCTGTCAGAGGGGGTTAAGGTAGATATGGAAAATTACTTAAAAAGCTATGTGATTAAGTATTTTTACTCTAATGCTTTATAACCAATTGAAAAATATATTTTTTCCAGAAATGCTAGAAAAACAAAAAGAAACGTAAAAATATCTGCCTGGAATCCACTGGCCTGGAGTTTTAGAACTCATTTGCCATGGGTTCAGATCCCAGCAGTTCCCTTATTTGTTTTTCAGTCGTGTTATAACGATTTCGTGAGTTATGTAAACACACTTTGTGACATTATTTGCAACATGCGTTTCACTGTAACACAAAGATTATTTTAATGTTAATGGGAGACAAAACAAATCTTTAAAAGGACATTTGATGGCAGACAAAACAACCCTTTAAAAGGATATTTGAAGGGACCTACAGAAATATGTTTTTCTAGGTCCCTGCTAGTCACTATAGCGTACCTTAAAACCAAACTCTCCGAGATGGTCCCTGACCAGATGGCCCAGCACTGTAAGGGCGTAGAGAGCACTTAGGAAGGTGAGAGCATTGAACACCTCCATACCAAGTACCAGTAATTGAAAAGGATCTTTTTGGTACGTCATGAAAGATGAGTGTCATGGCTGGTACTGAACAGTGTATATAGTCTATTATTCATTACAAAGCTGCAATATGCACAACAATTTGAAGATTATTTTTATTTGTCAGAAAATTTACACTGAAGCGGGAATTAGTCATATGATGGCCAAATTAGTAAAGCTTCCCACCCAGAAAAAGGTAAATATCACGTTCTAAGATACTGTAAATTATATTTAAAAAAAAATATATGGCAATACCTGAAGTAAACCTGGATTCATTTGGTGTATAAATACATTTAACAATTTCAAAATATGTGCAATATTTCTCTCGAGTTATATGTTGCTGAATTTCCATTTATTATTATTATTATTATTAAAGATTAGCCGTATTCTCCCGGCCCGGGCCTTTTCCAAGTTTGGCTCCCTGTCTTGGGAGTGTCTGAGACCTAAGTCTCCCATGGGAGGAGGCACAATTACCTCCTCATCTTTGGGACCAACAGTCCCCAGGCCTAGCCACAAGCTAGGCCTCTCTGGTCTGCCATCCCCGCCCCTAGGGGGTTAATGGGAATGACAGGCTAGTGAGCTGCAAGCTCGGGCTCAGGAACCTACCCTACCCTAAGTAAGTAAGTAAATTTATTCAGGTATACACAAATACAGTTACATAGAATTATCATACATAGCAGCATATGTGTAGAGAACCTAGGCATGGGCATGGTGTCGACGAATTTCCATTTGAAGACAAGAGAACTGAATGTACCATCCTCTTCCTTGAACAAAATCTGAATGCTTTTCCGATTTAGCTCCCTCCTAGGAATCAAATAGTAATTCTTCTGGGTAAAGTTCTCGGCTGACAACTAAAGACTGAATCCGGCAACATTTTGGTGAAAATCCCATTGTAATACGATGTTTCTACAGCAAATTATAGCTATTTAGAGACGGCCAAAATAATAATATTTGTCATATAATACAGAGCTGTCCATGTGGCCGCGGCTAATGGTTTTAGTATAGTTTTACACCATATAACGGTTTTCTCTCTCTACTTCTCGCCTCTTACTAGAGAAAACTGTGTAATATACAGGGTAAACTATATGAAATCACTTACATTACATAGAAAAAGCCAGAAATATTGCGATTTTTTTTTTTATGTAATTAGGCGCGCGAACGTTTACTCTAATATCTCGAAAGTAATATTTTCGTCTATTTCTTGTGGAATGACCATTATTAATGATTAGATTGCAATGATTTTCACGGGAAACATAAAAGAAAGAGTGTAGGGATCTTAGTGCTGGGCTTTCAAATGATCCGAGGCAGAGCGACAGTTTGTACACACAAAAAAACAAGTGTGTAGTCAAAACTTGAGTACAAGCGCAATAGTCACTTACCAGGCCTTGCCTGTCACTTTCAGCGGCAGTGCAGTAGATCTCGAGGAAGAAGTAGATAGTCTGGCTATACGGGTACTGCCACAACATCCACTTCAGCACACGCAAGCGAGTCCTGAGAAAAGAACTTCTTATTTAGAGGAATGAATACCTGGTATCCATTAAAGGTCGGGTACCTAGATGGTACTCCAGTAAATCCCGATAATGCCTGAGTAATATTGCCAGTAGTGTGTTTATAATGCTTCAATAAAATATAAATTGTTCAGTAGTGTTTACAAGCCTCACTTGTTGATGCTTCTGTAGGGTATACAGAGGCAACAGCGCAGGATTCCCACGTGGTAGTCTATATAGGCGTCCTTCAGCCTAGCCAGCATAGCTTTTTCACACCCAAACATAACCACAGTCAGGGCCAGAAAGGTTTGCGCCCCCAGGGAGAAGAAGCTGTGGACAATGAACAGAAAACTTCCTAGTAACCTAAACATACAGTGATAAAAAAATATGAGAATAAATTTTCAATGAGCAAGAGCAACGAGAATTATAGGTAAACATTTGAAAGATTATTCTCGTAGTACAATATTTTTGTTTTAAAAGTGAGCACATATGTGTTTACCTAGCTGTGTATACAGAGTTGAGATCCTAATTTTGAATTCGGTTTAAAGGGAAGGTGATGTGGGAATTTTATTAGATAAAAATCTAATGAAGTTGGTTAGGGTTTACAGCTTGTTAGGAGAAACAGATGTTGTGTGTTACACGTGTGCTTATGGTGGGTGGTAAAGAGTATGGGTAAGAAAGATTACCTTTAATTGCATATAATACCCGCTCTAATTGGAGAACAGATTATCAGAGTGGAACGTTTCTCTCAGCACTTGATTGCCGGAGCATTTTTATTTTTTTGTGGAAAATTGAACCCAGGGCTGAATCTTCCTCAGTTTTTAAAAATCAAATGAATATCTCCCACAATATCTGTTGTACTTGTCTTAAGAAGCATTTCTTTTAATACCTTCCTTTTTATTCTGAATGTACTATATTTTATAACTGTTAATTTTTGATGTCTTAAACCATAGCATATCTGTCCCTGTGGTCCCCTTTCTCACGGTCCCTAATTCTTCTTCCCCTCCTTCCTCCTCTGGTTCTTACACTCAATACCAACAGATCCTGAAATAAAGACGGTCATGCGATATGTATCAGGGACGACCTGAAAACATTGTATCTGACAGACACACTTGATAAATATAAGCAAGGCCAAATTACTAATAAGGGAAAACAATATTAGAAGTGGTGTTGTCTTAGAGCGGCTTTGATCGCCTTGATTCCTGGGAGTTCAGCACATCTTGTTCTCTCTCAAATGATAGTACCCACAATATACCAAACGATCAGATGACTATACAACGGCACCTCTACCTGACCCCACCGGACTTGACCCCACCTAACCTCATCTGTCTTATTTATGTTTTCTGTATGTTCTGTATCTTCTCATGCTGTGTTTTGGGCTGAAAATGTCCCCAGTGAGCAAAACGTTTCCCAGATAAAATGTCCTAGGAGCTGTATGTGTCCGTTTGTTTCTCACCACTCCATTTGTTCGTCTTCCTAACGTCAGTAACGCTTCTGTTCCTTTTCCTCTCACTTCCACTTTTGTTCCTCTTCTTCCGTCAGTACCACTCCCTTTGTTCCTATGGAAAATTTTCTAGGGTGTTTACCTGTATGTACCTCAACATTATATACATACCAGTAATCTCATTGGGAGACAATCATATTGTTTACCGTAGTCACCCCGTGTAGACATGTGAGAAAACTTAACCACCCCTGGTCGCACCAAGTGGTCCCCTCGACCTCACAATCTTATCCATATCTATCCGAGACCAGTATGGATTGGGTAGCACCCACAAGTACGGTGCTACTAATTAATTGTGGACTGTATAGATTATATTAGTTTAGCTGAATGAAGGGGAGGGGGGTAGGATACACCTGGATACATCCGTCAAGGAAAAATTTGTACATAATCCCAATACTTACCCGATTTTTTCCCGGTGGTCACTTTATGTAGTGGTCACTCGTAACCACTAATTTTTAAAATACCACTACGGCCATCTAAGGTTTCGTTTTTACCTTTTCCCAAAAATTTTTCTCAATTTTTTAATTGGGTTTTTCAAATTTCATTCTTCCCCCGAAACTTTAACTTTTAAAAATTTGGGGGTCCTTTTAAATTAAAAATGGGGAATTTTCCGGGTTTTTTTCCCGGGGTTTTTTTTGGGGGGGAACCCCCCCAAAAAAAAAAACCAAAAGGCCGAAATCCCTCCCTTCTCACCAGGAACAATTAACGACACTTCTTATTATGAAATAGGCCTATATTAATCCTTAGCCACCGTGAACGTCAATTCGTGGTTCCATGTTTTCAGCTTCCTCACCACCATCAAAAACAATAGCGCTCTCCCCCCCCACATCCGCGCATGCCAAAGGAACCTTGGCACCTTATTTCAAATACATTTTGACCCCAAAATAAGACACATAAAAAAACCTATCAGGCACTATAGTTTCGGAAAATAAAAAATTTTCCACACTGCGGCCGGGCGGGGTCTTTGCAAAAAGACGACTTACAAAATGGAGACAATTTTTTCCCAATCTTCACGGGCCCACCCCTATTTATTGAAAAACCCAAAAGGACTAATTAGTGTTCCATTCTCTAGGGAAAGCCATGCCCTGGATTAATTTATTGAACATACGGAAAATTTTGAGACTTTAACAATAACAAGGTTCTCAAAAAATCCCAAGTCAGTCCCACACTTTCTTCATTAACCCTTCACATATCCTCATTAGTTCCTCTTCAGGTGAACGTCACACCGGAAATTGTCCACAAAAGATTATTACCCAATACTTCGCTCAGTGGACCGCTGTGCACTTAAGGTGTCATTTATCGTCGCCTGAAGTAAGAACAATTAATATTAACTGCTTAAATTAACATTATAAGCAGTCAACAATTTTGGTGCCCTTGCTCAGTTCGCAGAGCTGGTCCTTTAACTGTCCAAAACGCACCCTATAATTAGTAGTAATGGGAGTCAGCTTCCACGGAAGTCGCACCCATAATGTCCAATTCAAAATTTAACATCCTTCAGTAGTTTCCTGAGTAAAGGAATCATTGGACTTCCTATTTAATTAATCCCTATGCTGCCAGCCCACAAAATAACGGTTCAACATAAATTCTCGATAGAAGAATACTTGTACGGTACCTTTCAGGAGTAAAACACCGTGACCGTATCACTACTTCCTCTAGTCATTATTCTGGCGTAGTCCTGCCAAAATTACATGGCCCGAAACCATGTTGAGGAGAGTGACGCGATGTTTGGATTTATGCCCTTTATCCTGAATTTTTACATCCAACACGGCAAGCACCTCAGCTAGGCCACATTATGCCATTAGCGCAAACCTTACATCAGTCAATAGGTCAGGGTTTTAACATTATCTTTATGTCACCATATTTAAGAATCACATACAAACCCTGACATAACTGTAGGGCTTCCCTGTTGCATTGATAGCAACTGTTCAATTGGTATGCAAATCCTTTACATTATATTGTCCTAACATCTGATAAATCTGCCCAAGTCTTTCATCTTTCCACTTTAGTCCCAGGATTACAGGCATTACAATTTTTGTGAAATGAGTACCCTGCAAAGGCAGTCTCCTTTCCTTGCCTGACCTCTTATTAACCGGTTACACTTCCGAGGTACTTTTTCCTCTTACCTTGATGTGAGGAACCACTATTACTGATTCCTGACTTGATTTTTGCCTTTTTAACTCTTACTAGTTATTCCACTGGGTTTAAATTTTTTCCCTTTTAGACTTGACAGATACTTCAGCGCATTATGTGTTATGTCCTTAGAATGTTTTGGCGGGTCTGAAATTGAACAATTAATTCCTGCCGACCTAGTCTGATTCCTCCAAAACCGTTACTATGGAGTTTTGGAAACCCACCCTTTGCATTAATAGGTTGATCAACTGCCGGGCTTACCCCCTTAATTTATTCAACCCTTTAAACTTTTTACAAGACAGTTTTTCTTCCAATTCGTAATGTTGATTAATTAAAACATTCATTTCCATTCTATCTGCACAATTCTCCAGCAGATCTCTTTCACAGTCTTTAAACCACAATTTGTACCAATCAAATCTACTCTCTAAAGCATCTAAATATAACTTTAATTCTTTTAGGGTTCACGGTTCTTTGATTCACTAAATCAAATGCCTTCGTCACATGGCTTTTAATAGCCTGTAATGATGCTTTCATTACTCTAAAATTCACGGACTTGTCAGCCACATTAACTCCATTAGATCCAGTCATGGTTAGAGAATTATTAATCACTGATTATACAACTTAAGTAGGCGCCTTATAAGAGTAATTCTTGCACTTTACTCTTGTATAAATCCTAGCCACACATGTGCTAGCAATTAATTGGGCTAATTGTCATCCATCACACGATCGATTAAACTTGTGCACCCTACACCCACTTCCTTCAATCAGTCACTTAATTATTAAGTAATTAATTCAATTAATTTTTTCACTGATTGCATCCGTTTTCGAAGGACCAACGGGCAGATATGGAAAATTTTCTAGGGTGTTTACCTGTATGTACCTCAACATTATATACATACCAGTAATCTCATTGGGAGACAATCATATTGTTTACCGTAGTCACCCCGTGTAGACATGTGAGAAAACTTAACCACCCCTGGTCGCACCAAGTGGTCCCCTCGACCTCACAATCTTATCCATATCTATCCGAGACCAGTATGGATTGGGTAGCACCCACAAGTACGGTGCTACTAATTAATTGTGGACTGTATAGATTATATTAGTTTAGCTGAATGAAGGGGAGGGGGGTAGGATACACCTGGATACATCCGTCAAGGAAAACATTTGTACATAATCCCAATACTTACCAGATGTTCTCTGGTGGTCACTTGATGTAGCTGGATCACTCGTAACCTATCTAATTATAACATACCACTACTGGCCAGTCTAAGGTTGCTATAACTAGAAGGGTTACTTAACTGTGGGTGATTGATATTCCTCATTTCTTGATTCACCATCTCATTTTCGATGTCCTGCTACACCGACACGATTCTCATTCCAGCAGGACGAGGTATCCGCTGGTTGTCCTGCTTTAGACATCGTGACTCAAGGAGTTTCCCTTTCCTCGTCTCGTTAACAACGAGGTCTAGCGTGTTCACTCGGAGCAAACGACTTATTTCACTTCACATATTCTCTTAACTTAGCGTTATTATCATTAATTACATTACAATTCACAAGCCGATTAACGTCTCATAACTATTATACAAACTAGAGGTCACTCCATTAAGATCTGAGACCGATGAGTGATGATTAATCCAAGGGTAATTTTTCCCAGGACACAGTCCATTGTGGCGCGTCAGTCACCCGCTCCTTCTCTTATCACACTTTTACCACTCTATTACTGTGGTCCCGTAAATCCCGTTCCCTCACTCTCCACCAGGAACAATTACGACACTTCTTATTATGAAATGAGGCCTATATTAATCCTTAGGCCACCGTGAACGTCAATTTCGTGGTTCCATGTTTTCTCAGCTTCCTCACCACCATTCAAAACAATACGCGCTCTCCCCCTCCCGCACATCCGCGCATGCGCAAAGGGGAATCTTTGGGTTTTACTCTTATTTTCAAATACATTTTTGACCCATATAGACACATCAAACACCTATCAGGCACTATAGTTTCGGAAAATTAAAAAATTTTCCACAGTTCCTATATTTCGTCACCATCTTCCTTGTTCCTCATACATCGTCTTTACAACTCCTTGTTTCTCATTGCTTCCCCCACCTCCCTTGCTTTTCCTCCGTTAAATATCACTAATCTGCTTTTCCTTGCCTACACTCTGGTTCCTCTCTCATCGCTGATTTTTATTTACTTTTTCACTGGTTTTTAACTGCTTCAGCATTACTTCACATTTCTTTCCCCTTTTTTTTTAGGTTTTAATGGTAAGGGTGTGACAGGTATGTACATGAATTTGGTGGTAGCTGTGACCGGTGTACATTGAATAGTTGGGACGTGTTTTGAAGGAGTAATTTTTCATGGTGTGGGCGATTGTATGGGTTGTGTGGGGGTAATTGGACAGGTGGGGTTCGTTGGTTTCGTTTGACGATGTGGATTTTGTATCGCGGTTGGTTTACAAGTGGATAATTAATAACAAATTTAACTGTTGTACGTTTCCGACTTATGTACCTGCATTTTTTAATTACACATTGAAAGCCCCAGGAATATAAGCAAATACAAGAAAGAGAAACCCTTTTGTAAAAGAAACAGGACATAATTGTATCCATATATTTTGATCCTGATTTCCTCAGTAGGGCAAGGGAAAAAAAAGATATTATGACTATGGCACAGAAAATCACGTTTATGATTTCCTCTCTCCTCTTTACTGATAAACTCCTTTGGAGGTCGATAATAGTTATCTTTGTCTTCCTGTTTTCAAACCCCACATGTGGTTTTTCCCGCTTCTCACAAAGGAACATAAGCTAAGAAATACATACCAGCAGACTTTTGGGAAAAATTTTAACATTCACGATAACATTGTCCGGATACTCACATCATTTTTTTAGCTGGCAGGCATCATGAGCCCGGGCACAATGAGAGCCATGAGTCATCAGGCTCAACCTGGAAACACGAATTTGTTTGTTACAAGGAGCGTATCTGGCTAGTTGGAAGCAATTCAACTAATTTAATAGTCAAAGTTTAACTATTTTCTGGGGACGTTGCTTCTCTCTCTCTACAAATTCTACAGTATACACCAAACTTATATTAGTCATAAACCCAATATTTAATTTTTTATATATTAACTGTAGATCTTTAAAAAGACTTAACTAGCAGTTCAGAACCTGAACAAAAAAACTGTCTGAAATGCGAAAAAAATTTAATTATTTAGTATTCTTTATCTTTCTCCTGCAGTCAGTTAACCCAAACTAAAAATGTGCTACACAGGGAGCTAACTTTCGAAAAATGATTAATGAATTAAACCTTAGTGTTAAATGTACTTTTTCTTTTAAAGAACGTTGTGTTTTTCTGTAATTTTAAACCAAGAAAAAGCGAGGCTGACACTAAACTAGAAATCTGTCCTATTTTAGGAAATTAAATTACTTGGTTCTCAGTTTTTTGTTCCCACCCCAGAATTTATTAATTAGTAAGACAATTTTCTTTTGTACTATTAGATTCAGTTAAATTCATTTTATATATATAAATTTAACCTATCCCAGGATAACCTAGCATGTGCAGCACAGATACCAGTAAAAATTGGCGTAGTAAAATTAAAAGGTCTGACATAGGCGGACAAGGAAATAGAAGGATGACTTCAGTGACTAGCCAGCTGGGTACTACTACTACTACTACTACTACGTCTTAAGCTAGGCGCATGTCCACAGGATATACACATAAATATCATAATTTTCAATGTATATTTTCACCTTGTAACAGCAGAAAAAAGATCTATTTTTCTCACTATGTTCAGTTTACATGTTACGAGGTTTATCACCCCACCTCGGCTAATTTCAAAGCCCAACTCAGTCTTAAATATTTTATATCATCGACCATGACGATTCCACTTGCAAAAATAGACTAATATCCAGTTACTTATTTATTGCAGGTGTTACTGATATTTTCTCATACACTTTGCCCTGTCTAGAAATCGAACCCGGAACTCTTCAGTTAGCTGAGTGGTCTTACCGGGTAGAAACAGGCTATCCAGTTAATGTGCCTGCGGTAGACAGTGTGGGTGTTCCGGTAGGTGAAAATGATGTGCTCACAGTAGAATATGAGGAAGGCCAGTGTGATGAGGCCACCCACTGTATGGACTGCTGTTGTATATTGCCCCAGAGCTGTATGAATATATATATATATATATATATATATATATATATATATATAATATATATATATATATATATATATATATATATATATATATATATATATATATATATATATATATATATATATTATATATATACTATAATTTATCTCTCAGTCCACAGCAGGAGTCGAACCTGTTGATTAAGCTAATGTTAACAAAACTATTAATATTCAAATATTTATAAAGAAATGCAATATTATTCAAACCAAATTATGTCTCAAAGTTTAGCCAAATTTGCTGTTTTCTGAAAAAAAAAATAGCTCAGAAACAAGATATATAAATATATGTCAGTAGGCGTGTAAGCCAGCAAAGGAAAGACTTTACCTGAAATATCGCCATTACAACAATAGTCCTCAAGGGTGAAAATAGAGCTATGTACAAATGGTGGCTTCCATCATTATGCAACAGTGGTCATCACTGGTGATTGAAATCTTTCCCAGGATCGACAATAAGACACTGAGGTAACTGTCGCTGCTGTGAATATTAAGTAATAAGAGTCGTGATCCGAGGATAGACCTTGAGATCCGGGCAAAACGAAAATAATCTGGATAGGTACACGTTGCAAAACAAGCGTTAATTGCGAGAATGTGTCGTTCCGTGGGCTTTTTCAGATCGTATATAGTTCTGCAACGTGTGTTTTTTCTTCGGTATTGCCGACAGCACACCATGCTGATCCACGAATAGATTGTGCTAAGAAAAATACCCAGTAAACAGAACAATCTTTTACATCTTTTTAGAGGGCTTCAAAAAAGTTCTATTTAACGAAAGGGTGTCCAATTAATGCTTGTTTGCAAAGTGATGTCCATTTTCTGAAGAACAAACATTTCTCAGTAAAGGGTGACGTCCCCGTCGCCCCAGCCAGCTGTTAAGGTTACATTGCGACTCCCCTTTTTTTTTTTTAATCATGGGGGAGCGCAAAAATCCGTAGGATTTTCAGCGCCTGGGGGGAAGGGGATCAAGAGCCCCTCACCAGCATCAAGAACCCCTTTCGGGGGGGGTGGACTCCCCCAAAAACGGAATTTTTAAAAACAGGGGAAAACTGTTAAATATGAGGGCAGTAGAAAGTGGTGAGGAGAATATTGCGAAACTTTTTTTCAGGCAAAAATAAGCTTCGTAAAAGTTATGCAGTCTTCTGGAAGGAATTAAAAAAACCCCCGTAGTACTCAGTCATATTAGAATGTTTGGGGGAATTTTCTCGCCGAGCCCCCGGCTGTTTTAAATTATTGTTTGTATGAAAATCTATCCTGTAGTGGAGAATAAAAAAAAAATTCCGGGTAATAGATGAAAATTAAACAAGTTTTGGTCAAATTTTTGTTCAGATTAGCCGAAAAATGCGTCGTACTCATTTTTTCAATAAAAACTAAAATTACCTTTTCCATCATTAATTCCTCTTGATAGAACACATAAAATTGAATGTCCATTTTACATTCATATTCACAGGACGAAAAGAGTCAAATTCGCTTACACGGAAAGCCTACAAAAAGTTGTTCATTTGCAATTACATTCAACTGTAGCAAGAATCAGATCGTATTTTTGAAATTTCTCAGAGCACTTCCTCCCAAGTTTAATTAATTGTATCATGAAAATAGGAAATATATAGATTTCTTAAACACTTCTTACCGTAACCCTCAAAGGGGGTGCCTTTCCCCCCCCAAAGGGGCTCTTGTTTCAAGGAACTGACTGAATGGTGCTTTTGAATCACGAATTTAATTTTTCCCTTTCCCCCTGTTCAATAAAATATTCATTATTAAAAACCCTAGATAACGGTTGGGTTAGGTAAGGTTCACAGCAAAGGCAATTTTTTCCCCGACGGGGTTTTGATGATGACTCGCGTTGGGTTTTGGTCACTGACCGAACCTTCCACTGGCTTACGGTCCCCCCTTTAAAAATTATGGTAATATTTATAACCTTTTTTATATTCGCAGATAAGCCTTTTTAAAAGGTAAAAAAAAAATATATTTTTACGTAGAACCAGAGAAGGCAGTAAGATAAACGTCTGGTTTTCCCAATGACAACTTCCCAATATCTTAAAAAACAATAAGCTACAAGGAACACATACAAGAAGTGCATATAGTTCTTTTTTAATCATATTTTATTTTTTCTTTTTTCTTAATGACCTCGTGGTCCATAACCTTTAAGCTTAATAATAAAGTCGTAGTGTCATAATTTAGCTTTTAATTTCCCCTGCATCGAAAAAACCTTTTGGGGTTTAGAAATTTCCTTAGTTTTCTGTGGAGAAAGCATTGGGTACTTGTGGTAAACGAAAAAGTACGCATCAAGATATCATAAAGGGTACTGCGTCAGAAAAACTGATCAAATACTCACAAGAAACTGCTCAAGAACTGCTCAAGATACGCATCAAGATACTGCGTCAAGTACTGCAAAAATCTGCTCAAGATACTGTCAAATATGCTCAAGAACTGCATTAAATACTCGTCAAATACTGCGTCAATACTGCGTCAAGATACTGCATCAAGATACTGCAAAAAGTACTGCCAAGATACTGCATCAAGATACTGGTCAAGATACGCTAAAATTACTGCGTAAAGATACTGGCCCAAGATATGCGTCAAGATACTGCATCAAGATACTGCAAAAATACGCGTCAAGATTGCACAGTACTCCCAACAAATACTGCGTCAAGTACTGCGTCAAAACTGCTAAAGATAGCATCAAGATACTGGTCAAGATACTGTATCAAGATACTGCATCAATTTTGCATTAAGACACTGCATCAAGATATGCATCAAAATACTGCTAAGTACTGGTAAAAGACTGCTCAAGATACTGCGTCAAGATACTGCTCAAATACTGCTAAAGATACTGCATAAAGATACTGCTCAAGATACGCATCAAGATATGCATCAAGAAAAGCGCAAGATACTGTATCAAATACTGCATAAGATATGCAAAAGCCTGCATCAAGATACTGCATCAAAATACTGCATCAAAAATCCCCGGGGGGCTTTCAAGATACGCGTAAGATACTGCACAAGATACGCACAAGATACTGCATCAAGTACTGCACAAGTATGCATCAAGATATGCATCAAGACCGTCAAGTACGCATCAAGATACTGCATAAAGATACTGCATCAAGATACGATCAAGTACTGCTCAAGTCTGCACAAGAACTGATCAAGATATCAATATTCAAGTGCAGTTTTCCCCAAAATTAAATTTTTTTTAAATCAAATTGTTTGAATTATGACTACAAATAATGACTTTTAAAAAATTATTAAAATTTTAATAAAAATTCTTAATAAATAAACAAAAATCTTTTATAAAAATGCAGTCCAGTCAGTATTCGATATATTTTTAAAATTCTGAAAACATTGTAAGTGATTCAAAAAACTGCCCCTTTTTTTTTACATAAAAATGTAGGGCACATCCCCATGGGAAAGATCTATGTCACGAAAAGTCCCGCGGGCTGTGGTTCTAGTTGGGGGAAACGGGGCAGCCGCGTAACAGCCGATTGATCAGGCCTGATCCACCAGAGGGCCGGTCAAGACGGGCCGGGGGGCGTTGACCCCCTGGAACTCTCCCAGGTAAAATAAGGTAACTGATCTTTTAGGGGAAATCCCACATGACGTGTATCTTTTCATTGAGTTTTGACTCGAATTTCTTCGTTGTTTTCGGCTTGTTGGTTTTAAACTTTGACAAGTACCAGTCGAAATATTTACTTTCTTAAATATAATGGGAAAATATTTACCTTTTTTTTATTGTACATTGTGCTCCCCCTATTTTTAAAAAAGTGAAAAAAAGTGCTCAGTATTTTTTTTTTTTACCTAGTGAATTGCTAAACCAGTTTTAATGACCCAGGAATTAAGGTGTATCTGTAAAAAATAAAATTTGAATTTCTTCAGGTAATTTTAATGTATTGTGTAGTTTTTTTTTTTTTTTTTTGATAATATTATAATTGTTTTTTATTTTTATAACTCTTATATGGATCCTGTTTTTTATCAAGAAATTTTTAGAGAGGATTTTATAATAAAAAGAAAAAACACATGAAAATGTAGGTCACCGCAATAAAATCAACGAGGGGCACCTTACGTTTTTTTTTAGAAAAAACACAATTATTTGTGAAAAAACTGAAGCACTTTTTTTCCCCCAAAGACCTTGGGGAATCAGCGTGATGGTGTAACTCTATTTTTTTGAGCTTCTCCTTCCCTGTGATGGCGGGTATTTTTCTTTCTTTTTTTTTTTTTCTGGGGCTGTCCAGCATTTTTTTTGGATCTAGTGGAGAGTGTTGTGGTGCAGGGAGTATAGGAGATCCCACTCTAGTGCCCTTGTGGAGCCGGGGGGAGCGACCTGGGGGAAAGGGTAGGGTCATTTGGGGCATCATCACGATGGGTTTTATAGTACTATGAAACAGGTTTTGATCCTGGGTGTAAGTTTTGGGGCTATATTCCAATGACTGGTGCCGCTAGTTCAGCTATTGGTGTATCTGAGTGTAGATACTAGGGCTGCTTGCCACTACCTGGTGTTGTTAGCAAAGCTGGAGAAGGAAAGGTGTTTATCTGGAGTTTATCTGGAGAGAGTTCCGGGGGTCAACGCCCCCGCGGCCCGGTCTGTGACCAGGCCTCCTTAGGTCAGTGTCCCAGGATGCGACCCACACCAGTCGACTAACACCCAGGTACCCATTTTACTGATGGGGAACATAGACAACAGGTGGAAAGAAACACGTCCAATGTTTCTACTCTGGCTGGGAATCGAACCCAGGCCCTCACCGTGTGAAGCGAGAGCGTTAACCACCAGGCCACCAGAGCCTAGTGTTCTAGCAGTTCTCACATAATTTTGAAAATTTGATAAGTATAACTTACCTTCAATATACTCGGGGATGGTGGGGACGTAGCCGTATATACAACCCTCAGAATCATTCATCCAGTGGAAGTCATTCTGGTCTGGCAACATGTCCTCCTGTGAGTTTATGTTAATTTTAATAGCAGATTATCGTAATTATATACAATTCTTTTTATTACGAGCTCTGTTTTATTTCAGTTTATGAAAGTAATAATACACAAGCAACAATTACATTGATCTATGTTCAAATTTCAATATGCATTGTGCATCAATTATTCCCCCCAGTTTCCTGCCACGGAACTTAATATTGTGATGACCCGCCCCTAGAGCTTTTGGCTTACCGTTCCACCCCTTTAAAAATTAGGGTTTTATTTTATTCTTATTGCCCAGTCCCACGTTCGAAATTATATAGAATTACTTTATTTTATTATTTAATGGAAGTTCATTTCACTCTAGCTTTAATGGAACTACCGTCCTTGGATGGGTAGGTCTCTCTTATTTCCTCTCAATATTTATTTTTTTCTGTATGAGGCAATCAACTTTTATCTTACATGGTCTTGGTAAATAAATAATCATTATTGTGTACGAATCGAAAGCGCGCTGCCCTTTGAACAAACAGCACACGCAAGCACTCAATACACACACGGGGCCAGAAGCTAAGACTCGACCCCTGCAACCACAAATAGGTGAGTACACACACCACACACACACCACACACACACACACACACACACACACACACACACAACACACACACACACACACACACACACACAAGATCAAGAGGTATGTGAGGAGTTCAACACGAGATTTAAGGAAGTATTTACAGTAGAGACAGGAAGGACTCTGGGGGGACAGACCAGATGGGGACACCAGAAAAGGAATACACCAACAAGTGATGGACGACATACATACAGATGAGGAGGAGGTGAAGAAACTGCTAAGGGACATCGATACCTCAAAGGCAATGGGACCGGACAACATCTCCCCGTGGGTCCTTAGAGAGGGAGCAGATATGTTGTGCGTGCCACTTGCCACAATCTTCAACACGTCCCTGGAAACTGGGCAACTACCTGGGGTTTATGGAAGACGGCAAATGTAGTTCCCATTTTTAAAAAAGGAGACAGAAAAGAGGCACTAAACTATAGACCTGTGTCATTGACGTGTATAGTATGCAAAGTTATGGAGAAGATTATCAGGAGGAGAGTGGTGGAGCATCTGGAACGGAACAAGAGTATAAATGCCAAACCAGCACGGATTCATGGAAGGCAAATCCTGTGTCACAAACCTTCTGGAATTTTATGATAAAATAACAGAAGTAAGACACGAGAGAGAGGGGTGGGTTGATTGCATCTTCTTGGACTGCAAGAAGGCCTTTGACACAGTTTCTCACAAGAGATTAGTGCAGAAGCTAGAGCATCAGGTGCATATAAAAGGAAGGGCACTGCAATGGATCAGAGAATACCTGACAGGGAGGCAACAACGAGTCATGGTACGTAATGATGTAAACACAGTGGGCACCTGTGACGAGCTGGCCCACAGGGGTCGGTCCTAGGACCAGTGCTATTTTTGGTATATGTGAACGACATGATGGAAGGGTTAGACTCAGAAGTGTCCCTGTTTGCAGATGATGTGAAGTTAATGAGGAGAATTAAATCAGATGAGGACCAAGCAGGACTTCAAAGAGACCTGGACAGACTGGAACCTGGTCCAGCAAATGGCTTCTCGAATTTAATCCTGCCAAATGCAAAGTCATGAAGATAGGGGAAGGGCACAGAAGACCACAGACAGAGTATAGGCTAGGTGGCCAAAGACTGTAAACTTCACTCAAGGAGAAAGATCTTGGGGTGAGTATAACACCGAGCATGTCTCCGGAAGCACACATCAATCAGATAACTACTGCAGCATATGGGCGCCTGGCAAACCTGAGAACAGCATTCCGATACCTTAGTAAGGAATCGTTCAAGACACTGTACACCGTGTATGTCAGGCCCATACAGGAGTATGCAGCACCTGTTTGGAACCCGCACTTGATAAAGCACGTCAAGAAACTAGAGAAAGTACAAAGGTTTGCGACAAGGTTAGTTCCAGAGCTAAGGGGAATGTCCTATGAAGAAAGATTAAGGGAAATCGGCCTGACGACACTGGAGGACAGGAGGGTCAGGGGAGACATGATAACGACATATAAAATACTGCGTGGAATAAACAAGGTGGACAAAGACAGGATGTTCCAGGGAGGGGACACAGAAACAAGAGGCCACAATTGGAAGTTGAAGACACAAATGAGTCAGAGAGATATTAGGAAGTATTTCTTCAGTCATAGAGTTGTCAGGCAGTGGAATAGCCTAGAAAATGATGTAGTGGAGGCAGGAACCATACACAGTTTTAAGACGAGGTGTTGATAAAGCTCATGGAGCGGGGAGAGAGAGGGCCCAGTAGCAACCGGTGAAGAGGCGGGGCCAGGAGCTAAGACTCGACCCCTGCAACCACAAATAGGTGAGTACACACATACACACTAGGTGAGTACACACACGCACACATATACGATAAGGCACTTGGAGCAGGGGAAAAAGTAGACCTAGTAGCGACAGCGAAGTGGCGGGTCCAGGAGCTGTGATTCGACCCCTGCAACCACAGATAAGTGAGTACACATACACAGGAATAAGCATGACAACGAGGTACAGAAACAATTGAAGCTTAAGAATGATAAGGTAGTTCATTAACTAGAGAACAGAAAACTAGACATATGACAAGACTGGTTAATACCAACCCTTAAGGATTGTTTATGATGATTAAAGAATTTAACATCTCGGTATTGCAAAAATAGGGACCCCACATACGAGCTCAGAGATTTGGAGGAGCAAACTGCTTCAGCTAACTGTACGGAACATTCTAAAGTAACTTGTTAAAGAATGTATGAGTCAGAAGGAAAGAGGAACCATGTTTTAACTTCCAGCGAGAGAAACATAGAGGAAATTGAATATGAAATATTCCTTAGAGAAAGTAATCACTTGTTGTGATGACGTTCTACTACCCTGTGAAAATGCAATTGAAAAAGGTGATTGTGAAGGAATGGGGCATTTTCTGGCTTAAGTACCGAAGGGTAAGAAGTTCGGGGGATGACACAGTCAGAAAATTACTGTAATTTTCAGCCAGGAATGCAAGTAAGAAACAGACAAGGTGTTTTAGTGTTTTATTAATATATTAGTAATAATAGGAAGAGAAATATTTCTTCCAGCTGACGGGGTAATAAATAAGACACTGGAAGACCCGATGGTTCATTTGTCACTGTTGGAAAAGACTCAGTCGAGGTTGTTCCACAGCCACACTAGAAAAAAAATTACAATGAAGGATCAAGCAACAACATTAGGAAAATAAACTGGAATATTTACAGATAGGTATACACTGGGCTTAATAGAAAGTTTCACGACTCACAAAATCGTAGTAACACTATTGCAGACAAACCACGGAACGGATTTCAGTCTTTTATGAGAGAGCCATCACCAGAGATGTAAAAAATGGATAAATCAAGTAAATGTTTAAAATACGAAAACAACTAATGGTAAGTGGGGAAATCCTGGAAAAAAATTGATATGTAAAAGGTCTCAGGACCAGATGGAATATCACCATGAATATTGAGAGGAGCTTATTTATTATGCAAACTACTCACACAGATCTTTAAGTAATTATTGACTACGTGTGGAAAGCAATACGACCGTAAGATAGCAAAACTGATATCAGTATTCAAGAAAGGTGACAGGCAAGAATCTATGAATTACAAAACCGTCTCTCTACATAGCCTAACGTCCGAATTGCGAGAAAAATTATAAAGCACAGGCTTACTGAACTTTTTGAAACGCTAAATTCTTCACATAAAGCCAGCATTGATTAAAAATGAAGGAAAATGTATTACAAATCTAGCAACGACAAATTATAGAGTAACGGAAGTCAGATAGAAGAACGTAGAGACAGACAGCATAGTCTTAGACTGTGTGAAGTCTTTGCCTATTGTGTCACATAGAAAACTATAGCAAATTGGAGAAACAATCTTGGATAAAATCAAAAGTATCAACATAGCTAAGGGAATATTTGAACATTAGTAAATAAAAATACATTGTGAGCGGTGAAACACCAGGATGGGAACGTATAACTGGCGGAGTTCCATAAGGATCTGTGCTGGATTCTATGCTGTTCCTATGACATATTAATGACGTGTTTATATGAATACCTATGTATCATTGCGAATGATGTTTAAATTATGAGGATAATACTAGCTGAATTGTATCTCCTCCAGGTATCTCCTACCTTAATAAACTACTTTTTCTTGGGTTAAACTCAGGTAACTCTTGATGAGAGTAAGACACATGTGCAACATCTGGGTATCTTTATTGTAGACGTTTCGCCATCCAGTGGCTTTATCAGTACAAATTCTAGGACATAACTTGAAGACAGTAGAACTATGTACAGAAGATGAGGTAATCAGTCCCTCAACCTAGGAGTAGGTGCGAACAGCACCATAGGTGCTGTTCGCACCTACTCCTAGGTTGAGGGACTGATTACCTCATCTTCTGTACATAGTTCTACTGTCTTCAAGTTATGTCCTAGAATTTGTATTGATAAAGCCACTGGATGGCGAAACGTCTACAATAAAGATACCCAGATGTTGCACATGTGTCTTACTCTCATCTTGTCGGTATTATATACCATTCGTACACAATCAGGTAACTCTTATTCAGAATATTCATGATATCTTCCTGGAGATCTCTTTCATCCAATTCAGCTAGTATTACCGCAATATTAAGATAGGAGATACCTGGAGGTATCTCCTACCTTAATATTGCGAATATTGCGAATGATTACTGGTAGGTATCTCCTACCTTAATGTTGTGAATATTGCGAATGATTACTGGTAAGTATCTCCTACCTTAATATTGCGAATATTGCGAATGATTACTGGTAGGTATCTATTACCTTAATGTTGTGAATATTGCGAATGATTACTGGTAGGTATCTCCTACCTTAATATTGCGAATATTGCGAATGATTACTGGTAGGTATCTCCTACCTTATTATTGCGAATGATTACTGGAGACAACAGTGGAAGGCTGTGAGAGACCTAAACTGACCGCAGAAATAACGAAACAGGTAATTACTGGATTTCAACCTAAGTAAGTGCAAAGATATAGAAACTGGAGAAGGAAAGAGAATATTAGATACGAAATACAGACTTGGTGGACAGAACCTGCTAAAGGCACATATCAGCAGAATTACTATGGCGGCGTATGAGAGACTGTATTTAAGAATGACATTCATATATCTTAATAGTGCTTCAGACCCTTTATAATGCATATGATCACTTATCACAGAATAAACGGCATCAGCATGAAGCCTTATTTTAGAAAATTTTTCTCGAAACTAGAGAAAGACCAGAAACTTGCTTCGAAGTTAGTGTCATAGCTTGTTGAACTAAACTAAACTTTTCAACAGCAGATGAGAGGAGAACCAGAAAAGACTGATTATGACACATGTTACAAGATACTCAGAACTCGATATGAAAGACAGTCAATCAGTTTGCAAGGCGGGGGTCAGAGAATCAGTTACCTGAATGATAGAAAGTACTTCTTCAGTTTACTGGTAGTTTGAAAGTGGAATGATCCCGATAAGCAAGAAAGTACTTCTTCAGTTTACTGGTAGTCTGAAAGTGGAATGATCCCGATAAGCATACATAGGTTTTTAAAATAGGTATGATCCCACATGAGCCAAGAACAGAGCATGTCAGCTCGTGAAGAGCCAAAAGGAGCTCTAGGAGCCGGCACTCCCAACCAAAACTAAGAAAATGAACCTAAGAACCACGCCTATCTTTACCTCCTCGGATCAAACTGATTACCTCCCATTTTCTAGGAACTCTGCAACTTTTGCGTGATTCGGCATGACTATAATAGCATCAATATATCTAAATACTTTACCATTGCAATTGTCGTTACTTTAAGCTTCTAGAAATCCTCTGCTAAAACCAGTTTGTAAATTTTGAGGTAGAAGTGATGTTGTGTGGCAGGTGAGGAACACTGAGGGTGGTCTTGTGTGGGAGGTGAGAAACACTGAGGGTGATCGTGTGTGGCAGGTGAGGAGCACTGAGAGTGGTCTTGTGTGGCAGCTGAGGAACACTGAGAGTACTACAGGATGGTTCACTGTGAGATGTCATAGAGTGTAGCGACGGGACGTCTTTGACGTCACTACTACCAAGAGCTCCTCCCAGTTGAGCTGCCAACCTTGTGTACACATGTAAAAACCAGTCTTCGAGTAGCCTGCATTTTTCTTGCTATCATAAATAATAATAGCCCACAATACCGTCGCTGGAGTAGTTCACACAAACAATTCACACAAATGTCTGAACCAAAAGTTTACATCTCTAATGTTATTATGGACCGAGATGGACCAAAACGTCATCAAAACTTTCCTCTCTCCAAATTGTTGGATAGTTATAATTGTTATAATTTTGTGTTAATGAATTACCTTTTCCCTACAAGTTATGTGCGTCCAGACTCGAATGCTTTGCTTTAATGAGATGTAACACTTACCCTCTTTATATAATTATCAGATTTTAAATTGGAGTTTTCAATAGTATATATATAAATAAAATATATATATATATATATATATATTTTATATATATATTTATATTATATATATATATATATATATTTTTATAATATATATATATATATATATATATTATATATATATATATATATATATATATATATGCAAAACAACCACTCTGAAAGAATAGAGAAATTCCAGCGCTTTCGTGACTACTCACATTATTGATAATGTGAGTAGTCACGAAAGCGCTTGGAATTTCTCTATTCTTTCAGAGTGGTTGTTTTGCATATTTTGAAATCACCTGTTTACTGTGATCTTATTGCATATATATATATATAATATATATATATATATATATATTATATATATATATATATATATATATATATATATATATATATATATATATATATATATATATATATATATATATATACATGTATATATATATATATAAATATATATATATATATATAATATATATATATATATATATATAATAATATATTTTATATATATTCATATATATGTAATATATATAATATATATTATATAATATATATATATATATATATATATATATATATATATATATATATTTTATAATATATATATATATATATATATATATATAATATATATATATATATATATATATATATATATATATATTATATACATACTAACACTGATCTCTGGGTGAAGGAGACTTGAGTCTCCTTCAGCCAGATTCTCCTTCAAATAACCCGCACATAGAAGAAAGAAACATATGACAATGTTTCGGTCCGACGTTTCAGTGTAACTAGTTAATGGACGGTGGAAATAAATGGTATAGAACACCGCATAATGGAAATATAAACACTTAAGCGTATAATGTGATCCTCTATTGGCAAAGTTTCGCCACGCATGGGCTTTATGGGCCCGGTTTGACGAAACCCCCTTTTTT